GCATGAGATGGACATACACATACATGAATATGGAACAAACAAGATCAAAAAGGAACAAGCTGCATCATAATTAAAATACCTAACATAAAGGCTAAGGACAGGATATTAAAATTCTCAAGGAAAAATTGTCAGGTCACATTTAGAGGTAAACAATGAGACTTACTTTTGACTTCTCATCTTACCCTCTAAAATCCAGAAGGGCATGGAATGAAATAATCCATCTAAAAAAGTAATTGCTAACCAAAATTGCTATGTCCAGCAAAGCTATACTTTAGAATCAAAGAGAAAAACTTTTCAATGATAAACTAAAAGAATTCATAAGCCTGCGTTACAGAAAACACTCAGTGAAATCTACACTGAGAAGAACTTTAAAAATCCCAGAGCTCCCAAATGAATAATGAAGCTTACTAGACGGGCAGCTAAGCAAATAAAAATTAAGACAGAAATAAGTACATGAAACAAATCAAGATAGCAAGAAATAATAAACATCTCTCCATAATAACTCAATATTTACAGCTTCAACTCTCCAAGTAAAAGGCATTGACTGGCAGAGTGGATAAAAACACGAGCCAGCTCTATGCAATTTGCAATAGATTTATAGGCAAAGACATTCACCCTGAAAGTTAAAGGATGGAAAGGATATTTCTTCAAAGGGAGTCTGAAAACAAGTAGGAGTGTCTATTTTTGTATCTAACAAAGCAGATTTTATTTTTTTTCAAAGCAGATTTTAAGTAAAACTTAAATCAGCAAGGACAAGTACGTTAATTTTACACTGATAAACGAAACAATCCCAACAGGAAGATATAACAATAGCAAATATAATGCCTTCATATTAGGTGCATCTAATTACATAAAACACATAAGGTTTCATGTAGACACCAGTACTATAATAGTGGATTATTTGCACAAACCCCTCTCACTAAGAGACAGGTCATCCAGACATAAAATCGATAAATATACTTTATATGTAAAAAGTACTATAAATCAAGTGGAACACATGTAATATATATGTATATAATATATAAATCAAATATATAGAATAGTTCCTCCAACAACAGCTGAATTTACTTTATTCTCAGAAGTTCACAGAATTTTCTCCAAGATAGATCATAGTTTAGGAGACAAAGCAAATTAGCAAATACCAAAAGTCGAATAATCCCTTATATCTTGTCAGATCATAAAAATGAAATTAAAAATTAACAGCAAGAAAAATTGTAGACTACATAACCTTACAGAGATTAAATGACAGCATTTTGAAAGTGAAATTAATTAAGGAATGAGGAGAGAAATTTAATAATTTCTAAGAGTTAAGTAAGTTTATAGCATTAAATGCCTATATTTAAAAAACAAAACACTGCAGAAAGTTTCCAAATAAACCATCTAATGTTAAATCTTGATGTATAAAAAAGCAAACAAATCCCCAAATCAGAAGAAGACAGGAAATAATTAAGATCAGAACCAAAATTAACAAAATAGAGAATTTTAAATTTTTAAAAATTGCCAAAGGGGTCTGGGTTTGTGGCTCAGCTGTAGAGCGTTCACCTAGCATGTGTAAAGTACTGGGTTCAATCCTCAGTACCATATAAAAACAAAATAAATAAATAAATGAATAAAATAAAGATATTATATCCAACTACAACTAATAAATAAGTAAATATATTTTTTAAAATTGCCGAAGTTCATGATACAAAGATCTGGTTTTTTTGAAAGATAAACAAGTTATTACATGCTTAGACTAAATGTAAGAGAGAGAGAGCCAACCCAAATCAACAAAATTAGAGAGAAAGAAGGACTTATAACTAGAGATTGTTCTAAACCCAGAGGATCAGTAACTGCTAGATGAAAACAGGGTCAACACTCCAACATATTGGCAATGACATCAACTTCCTTAAGCTTAAGAAATAAAAACAAGAATTGATAAATACAATGTCATCAAATTATAAAACATATACATGGTAAAGGAAAAGAAAAAAATCCAATCAATAAATGGGCAAATGATTTTAACAGACATTTCTCAAAAGAAGAAATGTAAATGACCAACAAAGATAAGAAAAAAATGTTCAACATCCTAAATAATCAGTAAAATTAATATCAAAATTGCACTGAAGTTTTATCTCAGTCCAGTTACAATGGCAATTGTCAAAAATACAAATAATAATAAATGCTGGTGAGAATGTGGAGGGAAAGA